TCCGTCCAGCTTTCTCCAGCTGACTCCTTGATTCCCTCGAAGATCAGGTTTTTTCGCTTGGACTGTGCTTCCAAATGCTCCATTTTATCCGTTATGGCTATTAGACTCTCACAAGTTTTGTAGACATCATCCCTTGTTTCCTTGGTTTGTATTTTCTGTTCACCCATGGCTGCTTTAATCACATCCACATCTCGCTGGGTAAACTGCAAACTCGTTTTTATCTCCTGTATTTCTCTGGTCATGTCGTCGAGTCTCTTGTTATTTGTCTCCATAAGTAGTTGCACAAAACCTTTGAAGTTGTCTTGTTGTTGGCTCAACAGTGCGGTGTACATCTGCTTCTGCTGACTCAACATCTCTATTACTTGCGCCACTGAAATATAATCCTCTTCTGCCTCAACATCCTCGTTCGCTTCTGATTTATTAGCTCTTTTCCCTCTTGGAGGCATTTTAATAGTTCTAGAATTTGTTCAAAGACTTGAAAATGTAGAAGATGTGAAAAATCGTAGAACAGACAAGAGGAGCAGTAAACGTCCGCTCTCTCTTGCAACCCGGGTTTAAATGTTGGTGATCCATTAATAAATGTTCACTTACTAATAGCACAAATATTGAATGTGAACATATAATAATATGCTCTGAAAATCTTTCCCGGGGAGTAAGGGTTTTTCTGAACAGAAAAAAGGTGCTAAAAAGACAAAGTCATTCTTAAATTGCTGAATTCTGATTAGTGCAATTGAAGTACATAAATGAAAACAAACCAATACAGATTTTGAAAACTGTGTGATGAGTTAACAGAACTTTTTAGATAGCTGCATTAATAAAAAAAAACTTGCAACCAGTCTGGTGTGATAGTAACATTTACTGATGACAGAATGGATGTTTCAGAGCAGAATCAGAGCAGCACTGAGCAGAACTGAGATCAGTCCGGTGTTCATTTGGTCTGCATGTGACAGTGATGCTATCTGATTTGTCCTCATCCAATCTGCAAACCTGCTGGTTCGTGTGTACACTCCGGGCTTGTAGGGAAGTCCACACTTTTCCCCGAAACTCGTCACCCCGACCACATAAAACCTCTCCTCGTCTTCGCTATAGCACTGCAAGGGACCTCCACTGTCACCCTGACATAAACAACACTCATGATTTATTGAATTGAAGCCTACAGCCTGTAAAGTACTTTAAAAACACACAAAAATAATCACCTGACAGGAGTCAGCCATGCCGCTCTCTAGTCCGGCACAGATCATGCTGTCAGTGATGAGACCGTGGTACCAGGTGATCTGGTTACATCTTCCTCTATCAATAAGCTCCACCTCGGCTTCCTGCAGTCTGTTCATCAGCTCGCCTACAGTACATAGACCAAATTATACCCCTATTTAGCATTCAAAAGCATTAATAAATGGTTTATTATACACCAGAGGTTTTCAACTGATTGCGACCCAGATGCCACCACTATGACTAAGAAGCAACATGAGGACCATTGTTGTGTGGTGGATAGATTGGATGAGCACCGTTTTAATTATGAAAGTCACCTTGGGTTTTCTAAAGTCTATATATTTGCATGAATTGTATTTTTCACTATGACAACAATTATAATTAAAACATGAAAATGTGTTAAATAAAATAAAATACAGTGATTCCCCTAAGGAAACTACATCATTAAATGCATGGTCAGGGGCCCCCTGCAGTGCCTTCATGGAGCACCAGGGGGCCATGGAGCACTGGTTGAAAACCCCTGTTAAACACTATTATGTAGTTGACAGTGGATATATTTAGTGTTTAATAATGTATTTGCCCACATCTATTACTCCTGCTGTGGACACCCATCAGTAGGCTGGTGTATAAACAAATAATGAATCACAATATAGTAAAACACATTTGTAATAAATAAAATGTGTTTTCATAGGAGAAGTTATGACTGTTCACAAATACTGTATGTTAACAGACATAAACTGTCTTTATAGCTGCATAAACCATTGATTGGCTCTGGCTTATAAATGCTAAATGGGAGGGTGGAGGGGTTTACAAGTGTTAATGAGATGGAATGAAATGAAATAAAATATAAACAGTCAAATAAAAAGGACAAGAAACACAGTTACAGTGGCGTCATAAACTGCCCCTTGACTAATGTAATAAAGAAAATAAGCAACAGTAGAGAATTATAAATTAATAAAGGGAAATGGGACTTTAAAAAAATAGACTTTGTAACTTTGAAGAGAAGGATTAACACATTCTCCCTCAAATGAAAAGATGAATTCATGACTTTTTATGCTACAGTATCATTAACAAACTGAATAGATGCTGCTGTGCATCAGTGCAGACAGCTATCAGTTCACTGACCTAATGACTCTCCCCTGCCTGTACTAAAGTTATGTAGGGTCAGTTTAAAATATGAATCAGTTTGGTTGAAGTGTTTCCAGATCTTGCACTGATGCGCACTACTGACTCCTCCTCCTCAACTCATCAATCAGAGCTGCAATTACAGATGTCAGTAAAAAGTCATTAATAAATATTTGCAGAGTTTCATTCATTCTCATTCTACAATAAACCATCAAGGCTGAAGCCTTTAAATTTTATTGAGTCATGAATAAATTATTTTTTGGACCAGATGCTCAGTGGCCTTCTTACAGCGGGATCTATTTCAATTTATATAACAGCTTATCACTGATCTGCAAAAAATGTATACATTATTTATTAACGATTAGATAGAGGGCTTCTGACTAGAGTCTGTGTGTGCCTGCTGCATCCACTAGATGTATGATTTTATTATGGCAACTTTCAAACCTTGTTGGTAAAACAAACTTTAAAATCATTAAAAGACATTTTTAATTTCACACAACTTCCTGGTCAAGTAAAGGTTAATGTTTCTTGCAGTAAAGTGGAACCTTCTCCCTCCACGGAGAGTCTGAATCCAACCTTTATACCAACCATTGTAATAGGTGCTCCCCCATCCAGAGATGAAACAGTGGCTGAAGTTGAGGATGGACTCATGGCTCACATTGTGAGGAGCGCAGACAGGTTGGACGTGGTCATTGAAGATGAAGGGAGAGCGGAGGAGCAGCAGTGTTATATCATTGTCAGCTGAGACCTCACTGTAGTCCTGGTGCATTCTGACTTCACTGATGGAGCGGATCTGGGTGTGGTCTCCTGGGGCGGACAGCACATTAAATCCTGCCACCACACGGAAATGGCTTCTACTGATCCATCTGGACACACAAAACACAATAAATTCACTGTTTGTGACTTTGACTCACTGCTGTTTTTTTCTTGTCCACTTTCACCAATCAACCCTCTATTCGCTTACAGTCTAAGCCAGGTTGAACACAAAGGTTGATGACATCAATCTGTGAACTGGAGATCGAAAACAAACTCTTTTTTGGTAAAGGTAGGGTCGGTGAGTCCTTCCAGCATTTGTTGTTACATATCTTCAATTTCTATTTTCATCCTGATGGCAACGATACATTAAATGCATTGACAAAGAAAAAAAATCTGTCATCTGTGGCAGCAATTGGCTCCAGACCCCCATGACCCCATTTGGGACTAAGCGGTATAGAAAATGGATGGATGGATAGATCTGTGGCAGCACAGGCGCTGAAAAAAGCATCAAAGTTATTCATGTTTACCATATTTAATCTATTTCCTGTATGCACACAGAGACTGAGGTATATGATGATATGTTAGACTCACAGGTATTTGTAGAAGCAGTGTGCGGCAGTGAGCACCCAGTGGCTGTTGAGGATCGTCCCTCCGCAGCGGTGCCTGGACTGGATCTGGATGCTGACCTGCCAGGGCCATGCCCCCTCAGGAGCGTCCTGGCCCCCCACTATCCGAGATGCACCGGGGGGACCGACCAAGAGCCGCTGCCCACAGCCTCAAAAAACCCAGTCAAATACAAGTTTAAACTGACATCTTATTGTTTACATTGTTAGAGGCAATGCATTTGAGGTTTATATAGAGGGTGTGTTAGAGTGACAGTTATTCATTCAATATAAAATTTGTCAATATCTGTTTTGATAATTTATTATTAAAATCAAACAAAAATGCCAAAACCTCTCTGATATCAGTTTGTCACACATGATGATTTGCTGTTCTTCTCTGTTTAAATCATTGTAAACGTGATATCTTATGTTTTTAGACCGTTGGTCAGACAAAACAAGGAATATGAATACATCACTTTAGGATCTAAGATGTGAATTATTCACAACATTTGACATTTCTTAACATTATATCTAGATCAACAGATAATGAAAGCAACCATTGGGTCCATAGGTGGAAAAAAGTCATAGTACAGAAGAAAGAAAACATTGTTCAAAAATCTACTGATGTAAATAATAATAAATTGTAATAACACAAATCAATGAAGCCTGGGTGTATAGTATAGCAGAAACCGTATAGGCACTGTCATAGCCTACTGACAGGTGTTGCAATTTTTGCATTATAATTCACTGTTTCATATTGTGACGATCCACGTCAGCCATTGGGGGGGGGGGGACTGCGGGCCGGCCGAGCGTGGGCATCATGGGAGTTCAGTAAATAGAGAGGGCAGTTATAAAATTATAGTTAAAGTGTTCTTATGTGTTACCCCATTGTTGTTATGTGTTAGTGTTGCTGACTTATGCTGGTGTGTTATCTGACGATGTTTTACTAAGTTAATTGCTGTGCTGTGTTTTGGACCGTCCGTTTGGCTTGTATGTGTGAGACTGACCCTGGGGGAAGGGCCATTGTTCAGTGGCTCTAAATAAATGGCAGAGAAAGCAGTGTTGCATTGTGGTCATTGTAAAAGAACACACCTAGGCGATATCAAGAGTCGTGCGGTGTATGGGGCCTGGAATAATCGCTAACCAAGATCAGCATAGGTGCTAGCGCGCTGCTAGCTCCACGCCAGGGGTCATTACAATATGTTTCAGTTGTTCAGATATGCAAAAATGTCAATAAGATTGTACTGTCACAGAAGCTGGTAGGACAGCAACTAGCTCAGAGGAGACAATTAACCAGCTATGATAGGACAGCAACTAGCCCAGAGGAGACAATTAACCAGCCATGTTTGAGAAAATACCGTTGTTCTAAAGGCATCTCAGGATCCAAAACGATTCCTATTTAGTTCAGTGAATTATAAAAAGACTTTTCCCCTGTACCCCCAGTGATGCTCTGTTTCATATCCAGGTAGTCGATGGGCCGCCATCTTTGTTTGATGCGGAAACAGAGTGGCTAATAGGTGGAAACAGGTTAAAAATGTTTTTATCATGGAGCGGAAAATACATCTTTTCATCCACTTCGCTAGGAGGGTCTCTAAGGATCCTGAAAATAACTTAAGAACAAAAGTAACATAACACGTATGCTATTATCTGCTTGTTAAAACATCGCAGTCAATTAACTTTTCCCTATGCTGTAACTATGTACCTCTCTGAGCGATGTAATGCTAACGCTCCAGGACGTCAAACTGGCGCTAGAGGACCAAAAGCAGGAACCAACAAATATATAACCCGTTTGAGTGGTGGTATGTTTTCTTCTTGTATTACTACTGTGTAAAACCACTGAAATGTTAATTGGTTACATGCCAAAATGTAGCGTACAACTAGCATGACTAGAGTCCTAAAGTTAGCTAACATTAGCTAACAGAAGCTAACGCTACTGGTCTTTTCTGCTGTTGCTATTTATTGTTTCATTTACATTTGTAGATGGCGTTATTTCTTTTTTAAAAAGTTAGCTACATATTGGCAAAAATATTACTCAGCAGTGATGGATGAAGTATTCAGAAAATTTAGCCTATTTAATTCAAAGAGAGAAATAATGCGACCACTTCCTAAACAGGCTAAAGTAAATTACTCCGTTAGCTTGAAGTAAATGTTATATAAGCAAAATGTACTTAAAAGTATGAAAAATCAAAAGTATTCATTCAGACACTCATTTCAAAGCGTTATATTAATAATAAATTATGTCTACAGCATCATATTTTATAAGATTATCATACGTTTTCTTTATAAAATTGTAATCTAGTTATTTGTATAGTTGTAAAATTAATGTAGTGGAGTACAAAGTGCTACATTTGTCTCTAAAATGTAATGGGGTACAATAAAATGCTCAATAAAAGTACCTTAAAGTTGTAGACGTATTTTATCACGGTCACTGCTAAAACGAAGAGTGACTTTCCTAAAACCTGCTAAAGAAAAACGCGTGTGCCTAATATACGCGCCCAATGGACATCTTGACCAGCTTTATATCTGTTTACAGTTACTCTAAACCAAAAAACTGATTTTACTCACTGTCCTGTGATGAAGTCAGTGCAATCAAACACAAAGCACACCCAAACAGCAAAAGCATCTTAAACTCCATTTTGTTTAAATGTTTCAACCCCTGGGGATATTTTTGAACAAAAACAAAAACAACAGCGGGTCCTTCTGTCTAGTGACATCATTTGCACGTTTAGCACGTTTGTTCTGCGTCACAAGTGAAACAACGTCTCTGAACTGTCTTATTGTAGCTGAAGTACTACCTCGACATCAGTAATGAATAGACATTAAACGTGTATTTGATGCAGTTGTAGATGATCAGATTAACAGCTGCCTGTTTGCGGTTTACAGAGCAGAGTGCAGGAGGAGGACAACAGTCTGATGCAGAGGCTATATGAAACGAGTTTGCAAAACAGGCCATATTTCAAAATATACCCACACAAAAACTGCCCAAGGTGTTCAGGGAGGTGAGACTCATTGGGGTTATATCTCCATAATAAACATTATAGCTTGCAATATGTTTTAAACGCATATGCAGAATCTATGAATGTCATGCAAGTGGGTTTGTAAAATTTCTATATTATTTGAAAAATGTATATAGAACAGTTTTGTATTCTTTATGTGTCTCAGACATACTGTAGCCTCCTGGAAGATGTATATGACTGACTGTCATATAGCCGGTAAATTCCTACAGACTCACCAAACTGAACACATCGATCAACTGCGTTTTGTCTCATCAATCTCATCCAGGCTCATCTCTGATCCCTACGAGCTTTATTCTGTGTACCACAGGTCGGGGTTTACAGGCTGTAGGCATAATTGACCTTTGCGATTTTACGAAACACACTTGCCGACTCTCTCACATTCTGCCGAGAGTCATCAATTATGCAGGGAAACTGCTCGCACTGAGGGGGAAGATAGCAGCAACAATATGGCGACAACCGCAGTTTCTCCTCAATCTTTTCCGCACCTGCAGTCCCGCAAAGGCTTTTTGGATTCATTGTAAAGCTCACAAGTGAGTATCCATCATTTATACTCGTTTGATGTGCATATGTTGTTAGGCGAGGTTAGAATTTCTCTGTCGGTATCCTTGCGTAAATGTCGCAGAGCTGCACACTGTCTTCATTTTTTTGGAGCGGGTTGGAACAGGGTGTCTGCTTATGCTGAGCACCAGTCGCCTGGACCAGAGCAGGGAAAGGTAAACCTATTAGTTGATGTCGATTACAAGGAATTGATCGGATTGAATATTTTTTCCCGAGCATCCGACGCAATGATCCGACCATAGCGAGAGAAAATGCCTCGTATGTTAGATTTTAGGTAGGACACCGTCTGACTGCCTCAGTACAAAAATGCCCAAAACTACAGATTTCCTTTCAGAATTTGAACACTATTTTTGGCTGCTTCTACCCTCGGCATGTCGGGATGATGCGCTTGATTCACCATAAGACTTCGAAAAAGGGGCAGATGCTATGTGAGTAGCCTGATCCTCCTTACATCATCAGTAGCCAAGAAATTCATATTCCTCCAGGTCATATTGGTGTGGCACACCGCAACTGTTATGTTCTGTTTCACCTTATGTTGCAGATAGTATGTTGCTTTTGGTGCTGTCTAGCTTCATACTCTCGGCTGCCAATAGAGCACTTATTGATTTGGCAGTCGACATGGCTTCACGGGTGTGGTGCAGATGCTTCTAGGCAACGCGCAAAAACGCACAGAATATCCCGGCAAAAAACGGGGTTGCCTTTTTGCTGAATAACAAGACAGGCATATTGGGCTGATTTATTATAATGGATCGACATCGCACTTGGGATTTTGATCAAATCCACTGTTGCTTTTATCACAGCGTGACATTCCCAACATAAAACCACCCACTGCAGCATTACTGCTTAGCCCAGTTTGGTTGTCCGGGCCACTTTTCTGGTGCAGTATAATCTCCAGCTTCCCTCTGTGACTGATCAGCGCTTTTTTGCTCAATGAAATGTATTAGAATAATGCATATAATGGCGTCCAGGAACCCTCTTTCCCAATTGTAGTAAACAAGTCTTCATTTCTTACTGCATCTCAGAGAAAAAGACAGAGAAGATACCAGACTGTGCATGTTTTTCAGAAAAATTGATTTCATTACCCAGTCTGGATGTAAACACTGTGCAGCCCAAGGCTGATACACAACAAGATGAATGTGGTCACTTAATAACATTGAAGGGACCTGAAGGATACACTGTACGCCTGAAAGCATTGTGAAGGGGGCTCAGCACGAAGGCCTGCAGTAGAGGAAGATTCTGTTATGACTTTCTCTTTGGAAAACCCGCATGTTTGCATATGTGCTTGTGTGGTGCTGAAGCGGGCAGTAGAGAAGCAGAAGGCTCAGAGAGTGTGAGGTTCTGGGGTCAATTTTCAAACAGATGTCTTGACTCACAGGATGAATGTTTTCTATTTTCTCTTTCATGCCCACACCGGGACAGACAGAGCTGGTGTCTTTCCTTGGTGATATCAGCCTTACACCTGGAACATTTTTAGATTGTGTTATGTAATAGGGGTGCAGGGAAGTGATGGGCCTTGTGATTCAGATATAGCTGCACTGTTTAGGCTGCATTCACCTTTGTGGCGGCCAGCATGGGCAGGAAGACAAAGCTTTGCATCATAACAACATGTATACATGAAAAGTAGGGCCATAATGTTTAAAATATGTCAACAATCTTAATATTTCAGTCATTTGTCATCTTTCAACTACTCAGTGTCTCAGTTTCAGGTGTGGCTGTGTTTCCACTGAATTTTCCTCCTCTTTCCTTCAGCGCTGCCTCACATTATGTCCCTGAAATGTCCTGACCTGCAGCTTGAACAGTTGTCATGTACTATACCATAACCTTTTTTTTAACATTTAACTGGTAAAAGGTTCTACTGATTCATGCTGGGTTTTCAGTCAGTGTTTCCACAACTGCTCAAAAATAAAAACATAAAGAGAGGCTTAATGCAAGACCTGGAATTTGTTTGCAACATTGGGTGAAAATATGAAATAGCTGTTTAGCAAATCCTCATACCTTTGGTGCCTGGACACAAGAGTAGACTATAACTGATTAAAAATGTCTTTTAAATATGTAAATCACATTATTTTATGTTTTTTTTAAAGTACAACAAAAAACATGAAATGACTAAATAGGCTAATGCTTTCTAATGGGGGTGTAACAGTACACAAAAATTACTACAGTAGGGGAAAAAATACAAGTCATAAATTTGTCATTTGAATACTTGACCATTAGTCAGCAGTTGTTGGAGACAGATGAAAGTCAGGCATCTCATTGTCTGTTGAACATCTCAACATTTCGTCTCCCCAAACAAGGACAGCCAGGTGTACAAACATCCATCCATTCGTTGTCTACCCTGCTTATTCCTGAACAGGGTCGCAGGGGGGCTGGAGCCTATGGTGTACAGTGGTATATCAGTGGTGAGCTGTTACCTCAGGGGCTGTTAGTATCAACCTTTTTTTTAAACCAAATATCTGTAGTATTGTTTTTTCCCACATTTAGTTCGATCATGGAAAACTGACACAGTACCTCATGTGGCAAGATTGCTACAGTCAGACAGCCATTTTTGTAGTACATAATTTAACCTGTAGTCATCTATTCTGTTTTGGAAGTAGAGGAGTCAGATATTTTGCAATTAGTAAAAAGGTTATACTGCATTTTTCTATCTTTAACTATCATCAGAACATTTTAAGTAGATCTGTGAATTTGTGTGGGGTTTGTGATCATTCCTTACATGTTGTCACAGGGTCCAAACCTTATTTTATTCATGAAGAAATATCTCAGGAAAAACTGAAAAGCTCATCTTTATAGCAGACTTGAATAAAAGAGCAGATGACATTCTCATGCTCAACATACCAGATCTGAGCTCTTTTTTAGAAAATAATGTTGGAATTCCATGCAAGACGTCCTCTTGGTTGACCTTTTTCTTTGTGTCTGCACCTCCTGCAGAGCTGCTACTGTGGATGGTACAAACCTAAAGACCAAGTAGCTGCAGGATGAAAACATGGCTGCACCCCTTCTTGCACCTCCAGGACCTGATAGCTTCAAGAAATTTACTGTGGAATCTTTGCGGGCCCTTGAGCAGCGCATCAATGAGGAGAAGAACAAGAAACCGCCCAAGCAGGACAGCAGCTACCGCGACGATGATGATGAGAACAAGCCCAAGCCCAACGGTGACCTGGAGGCTGGGAAGAGCCTGCCCTTCATCTATGGGGACATCCCTGCGGGATTGGTGGCGGTGCCACTGGAGGACCTGGACCCATTCTACCTGAATACTCAGAAAGTGAGTTTACAAAGAGCTTAAATGCATCTATGATGTTACTGACTGAAGTGTACTAGAACTGTGCAGATCAAATCGTGTTTCTGACCAAGGCCAGGTATTGAATGTTTGTACTTGTTGGTACCAACCAACAAGTACTGTTGTTGGTTGGTACCAACCAACAAGTACTGTTGTTGGTTGGTTGGTTGCTGGTTCACATAAAAAGTTTGACATTTCCTTCAAAGTGTTTGTTTGACAGCTTGTGTTCAGCCAGCTGAACACAAAACCATATTTATACTTGTCCTTTTCACACATGAACTCTGGGCCCGGACTTTGTCAACAGTTGCCCTTTCACACATGTAGCACACAACAGGAGATGGTCTGTCAGACATGTTCTCACCTACTGGAAATACAGTACTCCGTTTGGTTTATGTGCTTGGAGCATGCCAGGGTAGAGCGCACAGGAGGCGATACATGATCCAGTCACATAGCCAGTTTGTAATTTGGTCATAAACAACCGAGTTTCTTGCCTTGTCTGAAGATTTTGGTGATTCTGGTGAATACTCCGCATTATACGCTGCTGTTTTCTCACATGGTCTCACTCCAGCTCATTAGGACCTTATGTGAACTTTGTACTAGGGAGCTGGCAGGGTAAAGTCCGCTCAAGGTCCAGGTGGACTGACTCAGACAGTTACGTTCTCACAAACAGCTTCCCCAGGTAATGCCTAGCGAATTACAGGGTTCCAGTGCATGTCTGAAAAGGGCTAAATTGAGTATTGCATATTTGTTCTTAAACAGATTAATCTTATTAAGTAAGTGTTGGAAAATTGCCAGAAAAATGGATACCCAGCCATAAGGCAAATTATATCAAACGAGCTGTTGCACTTATTGACATAGTGTACATTGTTGGATTTGAACATGTCAGTTCAATTTTTTTTTTTTTACCATGTTCGAATCAATGTTCGAGATTCAAATAAAAGGTGACAGCCCTGCTATATATTGTACCAAACAGATATAAGATACTCCACTCTTTTGGCCTTTATGTCTTGTTTTATACAGTTTTATTTTGCTAGCAAAGTCAGTGGTTTTGGAAAGGTGCAAATCTTTCATTCATCCATCCATCCATCCATTTTCTTCCGCTTATCCGGGACCGGGTCGCGGGGGCAGCAGTCTAAGCAAAGATGCCCAGACTTCCCTCTCTGCAGACACTTCCTCCAGCTCCTCCGGGGGAATGCCGCGGCGTTCCCAGGCCAGCCGAGAGACATAGTCCCTCCAGCGTGTCCTGGGTCTTCCCCGGGGCCTCCTCCCGGTGGGACATGCCCGGAACACCTCCCTAGGAAGGCGCCCAGGAGGCATCCGAAAGAGATGCCCGAG